ATATATATATATATCAATTTCATTAGAAATTCAAAGTTGATTCTTGAACGAGGGTTTCCACTACGTTGATTGATCTAGACAAAAATATTCGAAAATCAAGAGAATCTCCATTCAGCTTGAATCGATTAAAAATTAAACAGCGAAATAACGCTTGAATTATAGAAACATCCAAAGAAAGTAAGTCTCGTTGAATTATTCAAAAGTCTAAAGAGGGTAGAACCCCGCAATTATTTAATCGATCTATTACGGGAAACGCATTGTCGTTTAAATGCGTTTGAGAAAATAGAAACTTCATAAAAATTGGTTGAGGCAACATCGTTAAAATTAGAAGTGCAGTGTATATATACCACGGAATTTAAGAACAGAATTTTGAATATTCAAAGGTTAGAAAGTAGTCTCGTGTAAAGTCCCATATAACTTCTGTAACTTTCGCAATTAATGAGAATCTGTCATTACAGGAGATCTCAAGTTTTCTCCGCAACTTTAAAATATGCAGGGTTATCTTTACGAGATAGGAATTCCCATAATTTGAACGTTTACTGAGAACCGCCTTTGTACCATTAAGCAGGGCCACCCTCTTAATCCTGAGGTTTCAGAAACGAACCATAATCACATAGCTATATAATCACTATAGATAAATCATTTTCATAATCTTAGGCTCTGGATAACGTTATAGTGTAAGTACTCATTAATTATCACTTTATTATAATTATGATTTTATAATTCATTTTATTATTATATTTCATTTAATTATTATTTAGATTTTCATATCAATGTTTACTATATTTCGTTTCATAAACAATTAAATTTCCAATCATAGTTTACTTCGACATTCTAAATTGCCAATTCAAAGAAACATTTTAAATGATTAATTTATTATATATATATATAATATGATATTAAAAGAATTTGTAATTTTGAATTTACAATTTATTTTGTTTCTCAGACGAAGGTATTCTTCAAATCGTTCATTGCTTTCCAAAAATTGTCAGGAAAATAAAGAAGAAAATTCCACGTCCTCACAAAGCCAGTGATATATTATATTTCTCAAAAGTTATTTTTCTTGAACTTAAAAGTTCGTCATTGATGGCGAAGCTCGTAAGTTCGAAAGTTCGACAAATCCAAAAATATATGTGCCATCTTTAGCCCTTTGAGTATTCAATTAAAATTACTATCTTTTGAATTATCTATTTATTCAACGTAGTTGTAGCAAATAAATAAATAAATAAATTTAAATAAATTTAATAAAAACTTGTTGCACATAAAAATAATTAAAGAAAAAAAGAAAAAAGAAGAAAAGAATAAATTCACAAGTAAAAAGGTCTTACATCATATTGCATTGGGGGAATTCTTTAATCTGATTCGGATCCATCGCGATGCTGATAGGGAATGTTACTTTTTATCTCGCAAATGGCATAGCTGCACAATGTCGTTTTCATACAGACGTCATATACATTTCGAGTGCATTCTGAGTTGCATTCGGCTATGCTTTTCTTATCTTGCCGCCATTCTGTGGCATCGTATACGATGCTCCTTAACGATATCACTCGCATACAATAGCATCGGACGTTGTTTATAGACACGCCATTACATTTCTGAACCGAATGGACTTTTGCGCTTTTAACAGGTTTCGTTTGAGAATTACGTATGGAATGTACACGGGGAACTGTGGTTTCGCGACACGATCGCAATGCAGTCTACGTTCTGGAGGATTTCATACGATGAAAGGAACGTTGTAACAGTAAATAAAATAATATAGTTGAGAGAATTGCAACTGCCTGGGATTTGCATAAACATCGAACGAATGTGCGTTGTGCATTTCGAAATTTGCGCTTCGTCGTTCATTTAATATTTAAATAAAATAAAGTAAAATAAAAAGTGTCATACAAAGAACATAATTTGTTCCTTTTTTTAACAAGACATTGTGAAATATTTTGAATTTTTTTATTGAAATAAAACATTATTCTAATGAAGAAAAGATTTTGTTTTTTTTTCTTGTGTCTGTGTCTGTACACATGCTTTCTGCAATATAAAAGTTACTATCTATCGATAACATATTCTTCTCACAGGATATGAAATTGATGCATTTTTTTTTATCACATGTTCAGAGGATTGTAGACTGTCTCTTTACCATTTTTTTGTCACATTCTGCCATACCGATTTAGACAAGTTTTGCACCGTAGCGCTATTAGCAGTAGGAATTAAAATTGAAAAATATAGAAAGTGTTGCCACATCTGCATCGAAAATTATTATTTATTGAACTGAACGTGGTGACTATTCTTAAGACCAATGATCAATTTCAGTTTTAGTATGACCAGTATATAATCACTAGTATATAATTCGAACGTGAGTTACTGCGTCCACAATTGATTAGACTGTAAACACTAGAGATCCTAAATAGAATGTTTCCGTATGTGGTCAGGCACGCCTAAGTAGAATGAGTTCGCACGTGGTTAGATATCTTTAAGTAGAGAATGTCCATACACGGTCAGATAGAACGAGTCTGCATATGGTCATAAATCCCAAAGCAGAATGAGTCTATATGTGATCAGACATCTTTAACAATTTCGTTTCTGTCAGTACAATGTATCAACAGCTGATAAAAGGAAGTATCACAAATAAGGCATATATATTTCATATACAATCATATACCTCGTCTGTTGAAGTATGTATTAGTCTTATCGATTAGTCTTATCGAAAATAAATATATCTTCGTATGATACATGGAGTTGTAAATATGATATGACTTGTCAATTAGACCACTCATTATAAGATGCATCGTAAATGGATTTATAGAATTATTATATCACACCGTAAATGGATATATAGAATTATTATATCACACCGTAAATTAGATTCTACGTTATTATACAGTTTTTCTTGAGAAAGTTTATAAATTAACTCAATATAACGTACATCATGTGTTTACACAGCATATGTGATAATTGTAAATTCATTAATTGATTAAATAAAGATTTAAAATAGAAATTATTGTGTTGAAATTATTGTACACATTTCCATTTACGAACAATTTTGAATCAATATTCAAGTGCAATTTTGAGCGCGAAATTAAATATTATTCAAACAAGACAGCGCTTTAATTCACTGAAAAGAATCCGTAAATCCTTGTTCAACAATTTTCTAGATCAAACGGATTATAGGAAGAAAGTTTTGGGTCTAATTAGAAAGATGCAAGATCGTAAAAGTTTGCAAATTAATGTTTTTAATTAGTTTTTCTTTGCAATTAAATATTTACTCGATCTATAGACACTGAAACGCTAGCGTCGCGTAGCGGAGAAATAGCGGAACTAAAATCTATCGTCCTTGTCGCACAGTAGTGAGCTCTTTGTCTTGCAGGCAGCATGTGTCTGTCTTTGTTTCATACTGTTGCTATCCTTGTCTACCAGCAACACATGTGCTGCCATCTATCGAGTTTTTCCATTTTGTCCTTTTAGTTCCAGTCGATACTGAGACGAGCTTAGGTGGCAGCAGCATCGATAACAAGGAGAGCAATAACGTGCAATAAGGACAACAATAAATTTTAGTTCCACCATTTCACCGCTACGTGGCGCTAGCATTTTAGTCCCCATAAATTCACTAAATTTTCATTTGCGAAAAAAACTAATTACGAGAATTAATCGATAAACTTTTGTAATTGTTTCATCATTGTCGGACCCCAATGTTCCTTCCCACATTCCATTTTTAATAAAATGCTTAAATAAAGATTTGAAATGTTTACTAGATAGATCGAAATTCTCTATTAGTTAGAACAGGAGTGCGACAAAGAACAATGATAAATTTTAGTTCCAGTATTTCACCGCTACGTGGCGCTAGAATTCGAATTTCCATAAATTGCGCCAATTTTGATTTTTGGAAAAAATTAATTTTCACCTTCAATTCATAACATTTCTTAATTACACCTATTTCATTGATCCTGTCTTTCTTCCTCTATATTTTTTATATCATTTAAGCTTCAAAATACACATAAAATTTGCACATAACAAATAAATATGTACTATGCAGTAGAAAAATATTTTGTAGAGAAAGATTTATTGTCCCAAGAAAAAATAATTTTGGATATAACCCTGTTTCTTTTTAAATTTTAAGGAAATCATACACAATTTTTAACGTCAACAACTTAAATATACTGTTCAATAATTTAATTAAGAATAGAATAATAAAAATTAAAATAAATAATAATGCTCAGCTTCTGTGTAATTTATTTCGACATTTAATTCCATTTAAGTACATTGGTCACACGAAAACTTAATAATTTTGCAAGTCTTGTCTCATTCATGATTCAAATCATCATTCCACTGAACCATTAATATCTATTTTGTTCTGTGATTAATTAAAAAAAAAAAAAAATAGCTAGCAATTCATTTATCGTTAAATATTAAAATATATCCAAATGCATCCAAAACTGCATATTATTTGAATCGCTGCACCCAGTTTCTTTTATCTCACGCGAAGAGCGCTACCGACTAAGATGAATAACGCTATCGAGTGACTTGCATTTCAACCGCGATATTACATTTTTCCTCTAGGTGCACGTATGTTACATATGTCATCGGCGTTCGCTGCGACAACACCATCGGAGTTTTAAGCATGGATAAGGATTTATTGCGATCCGTGGATTTGTTGAAAGAAAACGAGGAACAGGTGCGGAATGACGCGGAAAATGCATTGTTAACTGTTTGTCAAAACATTTTGTTGCATCCGAACGACAAACAATATCGGGAAGTGAGGCTTGACAATCCTATAGTTACCACAAAATTGCTGCCTGCTCTTGGGGGCATCGAATGCCTGTTCGACATTGGTTTCGTCGAGGTGATTATACATACTTGCGACAATATCATCGATCTTTCGTTGAATTTTCATGACGTGCTGTGCGCTAACAGATTGAAACAACGTCTCGATAGCTGATCGCAATTTAACTTTTGTTACTTATCACACTTGCCTTGTAACTTGAATCGCGACACAGTACAGAACATCTTTTGAACTTTCATACAACATTCATACGAAATAACAATTTTTGATAATTAATTTTTTGACCTAAAAGCAGAGTATTTTTTTTTTCATTATAAACTGTTTTTTCATCACATCCCATTAATTTAGTCGACAGGAAAAAGCTTGATTTTTGACAATGAAAGATGTAATCTTGATATGTGACCAAGTAGCAAGCCATTATTAACACACATTTCTGTCTTTTAACAGACTACTGACTGTCTCTCCTTGCCACAAGAAGCACCACTTTCAAAACTGCAAGCTCTACAGGAGTTGCTTAACAAAAGTTCATTGCCAACCAAAGCACCAACTGTTAAAGATAAAGCATTGTACAATTTAATACCTGTGACATCCACAGATGGAGAGGAAAATTATTTCTTGTCTATTGTAGAGTACTTTCGGAGTGTTCTGCGATATGAAGATGCAAATTTACAGGAGAAAGCTAAAAAAGTTATACCCATTGTAGATCTTGAAATTGCCACTATGACAAGACTTGGACAGTTGCACAAGTAATAGTCAATCATTTAAACATTATTGTACTATTCTAGATCCACATTGCTGTTCATTGCATCTTTTTGTTACAGGCATGTAAAATTATTTCAGTCTGGCTCACAGAAAGGTGTTGAAAAACAACAGAGCGAGCATGATGTTGATGATGCTAAAGATTTATTCCTCATGGAACTGTTGCATTGGTACAAGTATAAATTCTTTACGTGGGTCGATAGCCCAAAGTGTACTGCTTGCTTTTCAGAATGTAATCAGCAGGAATTGCTGCTTTCTGACGACCCTAGATGTCCACAAGTAGAGATACACAAGTAATTTAACGTATTCTAATATTAAGATTATATTTGAAAAACTTTCTGAACAGGTTAGATTATTGAATGTCGTTCTAGATGTACTAGATGTGGAACACGAGTGCAATTCCCTCGTTATTCTGACCCGGAACCACTGTTAACTCTAAGACGTGGACGTTGTGGGGAATGGGCGAACGTGTTCACGCTTTTATGTCGAACATTAGGATACGACGCAAGATTTGTATACGATCATACAGATCACGTTTGGACAGAGGTGTGTAATGGTCACTGCCCTTACCTAAATGGAAAATATGTGCAAAGGTACTCGTTAACTCATTGTAGTATGGAAATCGTTCACATAATAGTATTCTCATAATTGAGAAAAAGAATTCGCAGTATCAAAGTAATTGAATGATTGATAATGTATCAATAACTTAGGTATGGTCCATACACGAAAAAAGATGGATTCATATGGACCCATGCGAAGACGTCATGGACAGACCATTGATGTATGAAAAGGGATGGAAAAAGAAACTAAACTATGTAATAGCCTTCTCGAAAGATGAAGTGCAAGATGTTACTTGGAGATATACACGCGATCTGATAGGAGTGATGAAAAGGAGGAACATCTGCTCTGAAAGTAAACTGTTACAATTCATTGAATCGTTGAATAAATACCGTCATTCTTCTCCACACTATAGTGCCGCTCGCAGGCAATACGTAATAAAACGAAGACTTTTAGAGCTCGTCGAATTGATACATGTACCAAATAAACGAGACTCTAACGATAATAAATATTACGGAGAACGATCTACTGGTTCTTACGAGTGGAGACGAGCACGAAGAGAAATTTCTGAAGTATGGAAATAAAATAATTTCTTAGTTAACATTAGAAATGGAATCATTTTTTAGTTAACAGTAATTTACATGTAATAATTCACAAGATAAAATCTGTTCTTAATTTTTTCAGTCGAATACAAAGATAAATTATTCTTGGGACGTTTCAAAGTACGGAGAGGCATTTCATTTACAGTATTCTGTTGTTAAAGATATGTATAAGATAACGGATAATAATGGTACAATATTAATGGAGATATCTGGTTGGCAATATGGAACAAAGGAATTCGAAGGTGGAATGTTTCGTAAAGTGGAGCACGACTGGAAGATGACCTACTTATCTCGTTCCCCAGGTACTATTTGTGGTAAAATAAAATGGTGCTTTGTAGTCGCAAATCCAAACCTGTACCTGAAGACGTTTCATTTACAAACAACTACAAAAATATTTCACGAAGCTAATGTATCGTGGGATGTAGATGCTATTTTTGACAACGCAAATCAAAATAAATCCGTAGTTCTCCCAATTAGCGATGTTTCTAATTATCGTACGGACCAATTGAAAGGGGCGACGAAGTTAATTCTCACAGTAACTGTTTCCGGTGGTCAAGGTGATTGTGCGTGGCAACATGCACAAATTTTTCGGCAGAGTTTGGAGAACGAAGACGATAGATCTTTAGTGATTGACATCGAATTGGAAAATCGATAATTTTAGAATTCAAACGTATAATTTCAGAAGTTTTATATTTTATATGGATGCTTTTAATCAAGTTTTGTGCGTTCTTCGAAACAATGTTACACGAATAATATATTTTAATGAATACGGCTTTTACTGGAAAAAAAAAACATATCGAAAGTAATAATTAATTTTAAGATTAGTAAAAACATTCCGCATCTTAAATTTCTTCTTTTTTTAAAAGTATGATTTACTTTATAAGAAAATTTTCGATATTTATGTAGTAAAACTGTAAATGTTTATTCAATAAAATGATAAAACTGAACTGTTGACTTATGTTGCAAATAAGTACGGTCTTCCTTATGATTTAAGCTTCAAAATTTTTATTTCATATACAAAATAAGCGAACTAGAGTGATGGCACTTTTTGGAGACATTCGTATCCGATAGATGTCACGCAATTATTTAACAATGTAAGCATTGACAATATATGAACACAATTTATCTTCACATATTTATGTTTTCTTCTTTTCTTTTCTTTTTTTTTTTTTACACGCATACATCGGATATCATATAAAAACAGTATCTTACAACTGTTATAGTCGCTTACATGTGCTCCAAAAGTATTCATTACTTTCACTTTTCATTCTTAACTATACACGATAATAGTAAGTCGTTGTGTCTCATTGAATAATAATAATAGTTGCAAAATACTGACATAATATATTGAATTCACATAACATATAGAACATGTTTTAGAACACATTTTAAAACGAAATTTGAATAGTTTACTCATTCTCGAAATAACACGAGAATAATTAACGAAATGATTATAAATAACTTTGTACAATAAATATATATATAGGTTAACGAAACTAACAATACGAGTTGCCGATAATAAAATTATCGTGTTAAATGGAGAATGTGTTGCATTCATGTTTGAAGAATGCAGAAGAAAAATATATTTATATCACACATACAAGGAGTGCAACATTACTGATACGGATAATCAAAATGAAGAATAGACTGCAATGCATATTAAATACAATTTCTTTTACGCGTTTTTTAGTTTCAACTAATTTTTCTATCACGTTGTATAATTTCGATATGAATGAAACAATAAAATTCAGCTCAACGTTATTTACATGTTGTTTAGCATATATTTATCCCAGCACCAATAAAGCCTTTAATGTCGTCCTAGTATTGTGTGTGTATAGTATATACGTTCACATGATTAATACACTTCATACATATACATACAAAAAATATTCAATTATCTACATTGTCACAGAACATTCATAACTATTTAAGTAATAAATTAGCCACTTAGCCCTTTGTATTAATACTAAATAATGTTGCTCGAAAAGGATGTATAAAATAACAGATAGGCACTGGTGTTCTGAGATCTTACTTGACTCATTGTAACTTCCGTCACTGTTTGATCATCATATTTATACCATCTGAAAAGAAATGACATAGTTAGTGTTATTACTTTAATAATTGAAGAGACTGAGCAATATGAAGAATTCACTTCTCAGTAATTTTAGTCTTCTCAGTAATCTATAAAGTTTCACTTCTTAGTAATTTTAGTAAACCAACAGGAACCAATTCCAAATCAATTGTATCATTTTTGTAAATTCACAGTCAATATTCATAGTAATAAACAATTGCATTTTTAAGTATAAAATTTATATCTTTACAACTTAAATTACTTCTTGTTACTGCAAATTCTTCAATTATCATTTTGTTAGAAGTAAAAAATATTTACTTATTCTGAGCCGCGTTTTTACAGAATGCCGTGTAGTGGCCACCTTCCATGGTTCCATAATGATTAGACATTGCGTACAAACTGTAACTGTAACTATAACTGCGAATGTTCGTGGTACTACTAGTATCCGCTACCAAGTATGGTTTCAGATTGAAGTCCGTAAGAGGAAAATCAACCGCGGTGTTTCGTTTTTCGAGCCATCCACCGCTCTCAGCGAAACGATTTAAATGTATGACTATAATAGGAGCCAACTTCACGAAATCGAATTTTTTCGTAGCTTCCCGAGGCGTTTGACATTTTGGACATTTCCAGCCTACTACCTTTTGCCCACTTACAAATTTTAAAATACAATCCTGTAAAAACAATGGACTTGTTTTAATGTATATGTAGAGTTAAATTGGAAAATAGAAACTTACGTTTAATGTACACCGATTGGCATGGGGTAACGATGTTGTTAAACTATTGAAAGTCTCGTATGTGGTACTACTTTGCTTGCAAAAGCTGCATGTTATAGTGGATTTTAACTGGCCGAAAAACAAGTCTGAAATTATAGATCTTTGGGATCCCATCGCTTTGTCCCAAGCCTTCTCAGCAACTGTCATTTCCAGAGGCATCTTACAATTCTGTTAATGTAAATTTTATGAATTTTATGAATTTTATGAACAATGAAAGATTTTACTTTAACAATTAATCGTAATGCGGTAAGATGTTACCTTCTTTAGATCATTGTGCATCCAATCTAAGAGAAAAGTGAGAAACTCATGAGAATCCTGTTGCTCGTAGCTTTCAAATTGTAATTTGTATTGTCCAACGGCGATCTAAAAATTATGATATATATATAAGTTAAATCTTTAAAATGCGAATTAATTACAAAAAATAAAAATTTAAATATATTTTTTTATAGGAATATACTTCTTATAAATTTTTTTTAGTATAAGAGAAATATTATATTTTTTAATATAAGAGAAATAAAAATATCAAACCTTGAGGTCATGTGGTGATATACTTTTGTATTGACCTCGCCACAGTGCTTTAATTACTTGAGCTACCTCTTCCACGACTTGACCCTGCGTGTTGTTATCGTTATTAGTGTTCAGGTCGTCAGCGTACAAATTGTCCATGAAGTATTTGGCTAAATGCGTGGTATTACTTAAGCATTGTATAATGCTGTTCATATAACATGAGTTGCCTAAGTTCTTTAACCCTGTAATGCCAGGATGCTGTAACACAATAGTAAAAAACAACTGTACCGAATACTTTACACTTTATTACATGTGTTTGAAGAAAAATTAGAATTACTTTTAACAACTTTTTATACGATAAATTAGTAAATTTACTCCGTTTTAATTTAATTTTTATTTTTACTGTTTAATTTTATTTTTATTTTAATATTTATCAATTACCTTTTTAAAATAATAAACATTAAAATTCGGCACAAGTTTTCTAGACAAATTTACCATCTTTCACTTACACTTTATTTGATTATAAATTGTTTATCACATGTTTGACCAGGTATCTCAAGACACAAGACCAATCATAATTAATTATTTTACACTATAATTTTGCTGATTAGTGTATTTATAAATTCAACTTTGACTCGCGTGATCGTAGAGTTAAATTGAAGTTGCGATAAGGAACGTCACCATAACACTTGGTGACGATAGTCAAACATATACTGATACATATCTGTGACGCGTTACTTCGAAAAGATTCGACTAAATTGGATTCAGAAGCCGTATAGGTAGAAAATGTTTCTCTACTCACGTGTTTATTTTCCATGCAGACCCGAAAAATCACGCGATTTCATTCTACCGTGAAATTTCCAACTGCATTTTTTTCTATTTTAATTACACTAACAAGTAGTATACTTTCGTGTGTTAATACAATAAAAGAATAATTAATGTAGTATTTAATAATATTTTGTAAATTTCTACATCAGATATGTGTTATCCACGTGGACATCGAACACGTGGCTAACAGCGATTATTAATGCAATCTTACACGCAACTATGATGAAATA